AAAAAGAAACAACCTGCACATCTACTTCTGGTCACTCCTAGAATTACTAGGAATGCAGCTAAAAAGCTGGCTCAAGCTTTTTTTGTCATTCCATGATGAATTGCATTATATGGAATGTACGTGGTCTTGTTTCCTCCTGTCCAAGGCTACGTGATTTAATAAGACAGTGGGATATTAGTTTATTGGTTATTATTGAACCAATTGTTTCTTCTGGTAAAATTGATGATTTAGCTATATAGTTGGGTTTAAATTCTGTTTTTTCTGCATTGAGAATAAGATTTGGCTTTTCTGGAATAAGTCAAAGCTTGTTATCAATGATATCACTACCGGGGGACAGTTTATTCACATGAAAATCCACGATGATTCATATAATTTTTGGTTCACAGCTGTATATGGCAGCCATAGCTATACTGAAAGAAGGGTTTTATGGCAATTTTTAGAAGGATGGGCTGGTGCTAATAAGGAACCTTGGTATGTAGGGGGTGATTTCAATTCCATTGCTAATTATGGGGAACATAAAGGAAATAGCACACCTATTTTGACTCATATGACTGAATTCAAATACTGTCTAGCTACCTGTGTTCTTGTTGATTTACCGGTCCATGGATCTTCTTTCACTTGGACTAAGATTAGAGCAAATGGCAGAATATGGCGCAGGCTGGATAGAGTGTTGGTTAATACCTCCTTCTTGGGGCTTTTTTGATAGTATTCAGATTCGTCATCTCAACAAAAGCTCTTCTAACCTGTTGGATAATTGATACCCATATCCTATAACTAGTGAGAGTTTGAACAAGAGTGGAGAAGAAATGATGAAGAAGAAGATGAATAGTGTATAGAATGAATATTGATTGTTTGTTACTTATGGTTCAATAGCCTCCTATTAGGAGTATATATAGGGAAAATCCGGGTCTGGGCCTCTAATATGGGCCTGACAGACCCGGTTACATAAATGGACTGATAGTACAAAAAACTAATCTAGAACATCTGAATAATAATAATAATGTACAATAATATGAATGATATCCGCTAAACGTGTGTGGGCCGCTGTCTAGGCCCAGTAGTCGGCAGACCGGGGGGTCGGAGTCCATATACTCCATCAGGAGTCCGCCACTCCCTGAGTCGAGAGTACTCGAGGCGAAAGGGAGTAGTCCAAACTGTATCTGCAACGTTCTTCTGTCTTTGATTTCTTCCTCTCCGACCGGGGGACCACCACCCTTGTCCATGATGGGGAGGTGCCTCGTTAAAAACCTTTACTAGGAAAAAACTCAGTGGGAAAAAATCCTAGTAAAGGGAAAAAGAGTACACCTAGCGCCCCCAACATGAAACAAGGAAGGTAGGCCCTCTGCGGCATAATCACTTTTGTCTAGCTCAACCCGTCTTCATCTGCCCCATCTTTCGTTCCTGCTCATGGGTGATATGTTCTCCTCATCCAGAAACTCTGACCCCTCAGTCCCATAGTCCCCACTCTTTGAGGCGAGTGGAGACAAGGTGAAAATGAGTAAAGTCATCTTTGTACCTACACATTTATCATACATATAAAATCTTTTTCTTAGGATTTATGTTTCCGATCGGGAGTTCTTTACTTGAAAATAGTGGAAACGTGGATTGCCAATGTAATGATAAAAATACTTAGTAGAGTGGATGTGTGAGCCATTCGTACGCAACGGTCGCCATTCTTGGAATGACTAAGACCGGTCTTCATGCCCGACTTGGTCGGGGCTTTGTGCCTGACTTGGTCAGGGCTTTAAATCCTAGTGATGGGTCTCAAGTCACAGTCTACTAGGCATTTGATCATAATTGTGCGATAGTGTGACATTCACCCGACAAAAAAGATGATTTAAATAAATATAAATAACATGAAAATTAAAAGAGCACTTATCTTTTGATGGGATGAAATATTTTGGTGGGCTTCACAAAAATGGATAGCATCCAGCAATCCCTTTGGGCTCATTCTAATTTGTGAAAAACCATGTTATTGATTAGTGCTGCCTGACCCATATTAATTTGCAACAGTTGACTTCCCAAATAATGTGAGGTTCTCCATTAATTTGGATCCTTCGTATGTGGTTGGCTCTCAACCAAACAAAGAGCATCTTTTGAAGAGGCAGATGAAACAAACCCTCCCCAAAGCAAGCAGTACGTTTGAGAGTGGGGTCTGACCCAATATCCTATTGATTCTGCCATTAGCAATTGACAGCCTTCCTTCTTGTGTTGCCTTTGAAAAAATTTAACCAAAGTGCCGCGTACGGAGATAGCCAGATCTGCCGGTCACGGGATAACTCGCCGGGAACCACCGTCTGAGAGTGGGGGCTTTTGGATCTGGGCTGCATCGACAAGGACCTGACTATAGTATGTCGTCTCTACCGCTGAAAATTCAAACTCGTTCGTGGCTCCCTACCGCTTCTCCATGGCCATTGTTGCCGCTGAAGAATAGGCAGGGTCGCTTCGGTCATGGCCATCTCCGGTGGGGCCCTCTCGTTTGTTGCAGCTTGAGCTATATTCGGCCGGACCGTGGCGGGAGGCGAGTAGCGTGAAAGTGGCACTAGTTTCCATTTCTTCACTGCCGACGAACAACAACCGGTCGCGCTGCGCCTCAGGCCGGCTGCTTTCGGGACTGATTCGAAGGAAAGGCAGCACCGCCGTTCTTAGCTCAACACCTTCTGCGTGGGGCCTGTGCGGCCAGGGACTTCAGCCAGGGATTGGCAGCGGTGCTGCGACGGAGGTGGGGCTGCGACCAGCGACGGCAAAGCACGTTGTAGGCCTGGACGGAGAAGACAGTTCAGGCAGAAAAAAGTCCAGATCTAGAAGTTGCAGATCCTATCTGAAACTACAACAGGTGGCTCGTGGTGGCTGGACGGTGGCAGCTGGCCGGTGGCGGCGGTGCTAGCCCAGAAGCGGGGCGACCCACCCTGAGACAGAGGCGCGGTGAGGCTTGGTGGAGGTTGCTTCCGCCAGTTCTGGGAAATCCCAGAACACCTAATTTTTTGGATTTTCATATTGTTTTTCTTGATTTTGGATGGAACTTTTGGTTGTTTTTGGGAGGTTTTCTCACTTGATTGTGTTCAAACCTCTCAACGAGAGCACCATTGTTGGATAATTGATACCCATATCCTATAACTAGTGAGAGTTTGAACAAGAGTGGAGAAGAAATGATGAAGAAGAAGATGAATAGTGTATAGAATGAATATTGATTGTTTGTTACTTATGGTTCAATAGCCTCCTATTAGGAGTATATATAGGGAAAATCCGGGTCTGGGCCTCTAATATGGGCCTGACAGACCCGGTTACATAAATGGACTGATAGTACAAAAAACTAATCTAGAACATCTGAATAATAATAATAATGTACAATAATATGAATGATATCCGCTAAACGTGTGTGGGCCGCTGTCTAGGCCCAGTAGTCGGCAGACCGGGGGTCGGAGTCCATATACTCCATCATAACCACTCCCCAATTCTGCTACAATGTATAAACCAGTTAATTATTGGACCCAAGCCTTTTAAGTTTCAAAATATGTGGATCTCCCACTCCAATTTCCTTGAGGTTGTAAGTAATGCTTATAGTTCATTTATTACTACCGGAGGAATGAGGGGCCTATACAATAAATTACAGTCTTTAAAGAAGGTTCTTAAGGAGTGGAATAGGAATATTTTCTGTGATCTATTTCAGGACATAAAGAAATTGGAAGAGGAGGTTGCTAAGGCTGAAATCTTATTTGAATCTACTCGCTCAGATGCAAATAGGGAAAATTGGTCTTATAAGCAAGCTTTCTTGTTTTCCAGGCATAAGCATGAAGAAGAATTTTGGAGACAAAAAGCACGTCTTAAATGGCTTAAGGAAGAGGATGAAAATACTAAATACTATCATGCTTATGTGGATGTCAAAAGAAGGATGCAGTACATATCTGCTATCAAAGATTCTGCTAGGAATTTGCTTACAATGCAAGAGGATATTGGCACCACTGCTGTAACTTACTTCCAGGATATCTTTGCTAAAGAAGAGGTTAATGATATAGATTCCATCCTGCAATATATTCCAAAATTAGTTGATCATAATGATAATTATATGCTGATGCATCTTCCATTACTTGAAGAAGTTAAAAATGCAGTTTGGGATTTAGACAAAGATAGTGTTGCGGGGCCTGATGGATATAATGGAGTTTTTTTCAGACATTGCTGGCCAATTGTGGGTGATGATGTGGTCAGGGCAGTACAAGATTTCTTTTTAGGAAATTCTATTTCTAAGGAAATGGCTAGTTCCCTAATTGTTTTAATCCCTAAAAGAAAACATTTCTCTACTTTTTCTGACTTCAGGCCCATTAGCCTTTCTAATTTTATTAGCGAGGTTTGCACAAAAGTTCTAGTCAACAGGCTCATGGGCATTCTGCCTAGGTTGATCTCTATTGAGCAAGCTGGATTTATGAAGGGGAGAGATATTTCAGAACATATTTTGGTTGCACAGGAAATGGTCAATTCAATTGATAGGAAGATCAGGGGAACTAATACCATTGTCAAATTGGACATGGCTAATGCATTTGACAGGTTATCATGGGAATTCCTACAAGCCATCCTTATTCAATTTGGATTTTCTGATTCGTTTGTTAGTTTGGTGATGAATCATCTTAGGTCTACTCACTTTTCAGTGCTTATAAATGGCTCACCAAAAGGTTTTTTCCAGCCACACAGGGGGGTCAAGCAAGGGGATCTGCTTTCCCCTTACTTATTCATTTTAGCCACAGAAGCCATGTCCAGAGGATTGAAGAGTCTGGTTTTTGCTGATAAGATAAACCTTATTGGATTGGTCCAATTGGACAGTCCATTACCCATTTATGTTTTGCTGATGATATATTAGTTTTTCTTAATGGAGAAGCCAGATCCATACAGAATTTTAAAAGATTTTTGAGCCTTTATCAAAGTGCTTCAGGACAAGCTATCAATTTTCATAAAAGCAACTTTGGATGTGGGAAGACTTCCCTGGCAAGAATTCAAAACATGGAAAGGCTACTTGGAATGACTAAAATTAACCTGCCAATGAAGTATCTTGGTTCTAGCCTGCATAAAGGGATAAACAGGAAGAGTTATTGTCAAGGAATTCTTCAATCCTTTGATAAAAAACTTTCCATTTGGAAACAAAAACATCTCAACTTTGGTGGCAGATTAGTGCTTATTAAACATGTGTTGAATACTCTTCTTCTACACATATTAGCTGTTGACACTCTTCCTAAAGCTGTTAGTAGATGTATGGAAAAAAGAATGGCCCATTTTTTATGGGGAACCAATGGCAATAAAGGGAAATATCATTGGATTAAATGGAAGGATCTTTGTTTGCCCTATGTTGAAGGTGGCTTAGGTCTGAGATCTCTAATTGATATTGAAAAAGCTTATTCTTTAAAGCTTTGGTGGTATTGGAGAAATAAGAGATCTAATTGGGCAAAATTCTGTCATGCTAGATATCCAAGGGGTGATATGATAGTTAAAGTTCAGGACTCAGCTATTTGGAGGAGAATATGTAAGATTCATACCTTGGGGAAATCCTTATGCATGCAGGACAATGAAGGGCAGCTTATTTGGATACCTGAAACCAATGGAAGATTCACTCTTGCATCAGCTTTTCAGCAAGTCAAGAGAGCTAGAAATACTACTTTTTATTTCAGGCATCACTGGAGCAAAAATCAACAAAGCCAAGTTCAAGTTTTTCAGTGGAAGGTTCTTAATAGAATTTTACCCTTCTCTGATAACTTGAAAAGGTTTAACATGACAGTTTTTCCTACTATGTGTCCCTTTTGTAGGCAACACTCTGAATATATGGATCATCTCCTCCTTAATTGTACTTATAGCTGGAGTATTTGGAGGTACTTTCTGGGAATTTTTGAAATTCATTTTTCTAATAATCCTATTACCCTGCGGCAATTGTTCATCGCTTGGTGGCTAGAGGCAGGTTCAAAGACTCTGATGGACATCTTCAAGCATATCATGGCAGGCATTATCTCTTGGTTCTTATGGAAAAATTATTGTCAAATTATATGGGGAGATAAAGGAAGTGCCTAATGTGCAGGTTGTTATTAAACAAATCAAAACCTATGTCCAGTTCTGGTCTGTTGCATCCTTGAATAAACTCAAATTAGGAAATCCCAGTCCTATTCTCTTTGAAGAGAGTTTTATTCCTATCTCTTTTAGAACCAGGCGACATCGGATTTGTGCTATTAAATGCAGTTTACCTTCGCTTAAATTCAAGATGAATGTAGATGTGGCCTTCAATCCAACTCGAGCTTCAGGAGGTGCTGTGCTTAGATCCCGCTCAGGTGGCTTTGTCGTTGCTTTACACTTTCCCATTGCTGCGACATCGGCGATGGAGGCGGAACTCTTTGTAGTTCATCATTCAGTATCTTGGGCGATTGGAATGGGCTATCAGAATTTTGAGGTTGAAATGGATTCTAAGATGGTGGTTGATGCTATTTTGGGGGACGAAATGGAAGGGCGGTGGAGGAAGCCGCTTAATGACCTAAGAAGATGGAAGGTTGAGAGTATGCTTTCGTTCAGACATGTTGTCTGCAAAGTTAACTGGCCTGCGCACTTTACTTCCAAATTACACTCAGAGGAGCAGATTATTTTTAATAACATCAGTTTTCTCCCAGGTCATATTTGACGTGCTATTATTGCTGATAAATTAGGTTTGAGTTATTTTCGTTTTGTTTAATTTTTGGGTAAGGTTTGGTCCCCTCAAAAATTTTAAATTGAGTTTTCTCTTATATTTTGAAGAGGTATGCCTCTTCAGGGAAGGTTTTGGTCTAATCCCCCTTCTCTTCTGTATATTTTTGTATATTAATAAAACTCTGGCAAATGTTCCCCGACATTTGCCCCACTGATTTTGGTGGTTTGTCTTCCGGGTTAAAAAAAAATACTCAATCGAGGAGTATATCCAATTCATCGAGGGTAGTTATTAACAACGACCATTCATTAATAACCCTTACTATTAATCAAATATAGGACAACGCCTTATACCGATTTAATAGTAGCATTAAATCTTTCTAACTCCTTGATGAAATCAATTGAGATTGATAACCTCAACACAACGGTTTCGGTTTAACCAACAAAATTAATCCCTCTTAAGTTTATTAACCACGACCGTGCATTAATAAACCGAAGTTACTTACTTGTGAAACCATCAACGATTAACCATCGGTTCGTTGATCGTTTCTAGTAATAATTAATGTCAAAGTGTTAACCAATCGTCACTTAGCAACACCCCAACATTAATATAGAATGAGATTAAGGGAAGAATTAATATTCAAGAAGAGAAGTTAAGAAAATAACTCACAACTTTAATAATCAACAAACTTCAAGAGCAAAACCAAGAAATGGAAGTTTAGCTCCTCATTTGGATACTAAACATAGCTAGAAAAATATAAAGAAATGCTATTCTAAACTGAGCTTAAGTATATGGAAGAAGGGATGTGAATTAATGAAGAAAATGTGTGCTATTTATAGGTGTTTTTCAACACCTTTGGCCGGGTACCCGACCGGGTATGGTGCCCACCCGACCGGGTACCGGTCAAAATCAGATCATCCGCCATGTTCTTGTGTTTCTGCACGCCGGATTGCCCCCGGTCACTTCTCACCCGAGCGGGTGAGGTAGTGGGCCCGACCGGGTCCGGCAATTTCCTGAGCATCTTCGGTTTTCAGTTCTTACCCGACCGGGTGCAAGGTCCTACCCGGTCGGGTTTTAGCTCCTGGGCAGTCAAATATCATTTTTCTACACTTCAAAGTCCCTCTTTCCAACACCATAATTCCTAACTCTACTTTACAACTTACAAATGAAGATTAAAATATAATTACAACTAAAATCACACCAATGTTTACAAACTAAATAAAATGGTAAGCAATCCACACAAATCAAACATAAAAACATACATTTATGCACTACTAATTACTGCATATCAGGTATCAAGCTAAAATCTGATACCCGAAGGAAAAACCTGCTTGGTATGTCATAAAAATGAAAATCGAAATTATACCCGATCGGGTAAATCAACATATGTGACCGGGTATATGCAAAATGAACTCTGCCAGCCCCTTAAGTGTATATCCGTCCATGTATACTCACATAACCTGCCGAGTATGCGAAAAACCAAAAAATAAAATATATATATATAAAGAATATCCGGTCAGGTACATTCATACACACGACCGCGTAAATGGGAAATATGCATTCTGCCAGCCCATGGGAAAGTATACACGTCCGGGTATTTCCATATAACCGATCGGGTATACGCAATTTTACCCTATTTTAATTCCAAAACCGTTAGAACACAACTCATCTTCCCCAACCTTTAAACTCCTCTTCTCCAAATCCTCCATAGCTACGACCTAAGCTTCTCCAATACACACAAACCTTTCACGAAAATCCCATATTAACCCCCACAAAACTCTTCTCCTCATCTCCCTCATCACTCTCATACCATCAAAACCCAATTTCCCTCCAAAATCCCCAAATCCTAATTTCTCAAGAACAAAGAACCCAAAAGGATGATGATGAAGGATTCGACCCTCCTTTACGACAGAGGAAGCTATGGAGGTGATGTCAGTGGATATGGTGGCTACCAAGGCGATGATGATGAAGGGAAGCACTAGGGACAGTGCTCGGACTAAGTTGGGCGGGTCACTCATTTGATATGTACTCATTTCTTTTATACCTTGTAACTTGCACTGTTTTCTTCACACAAATAAAAGAAATGTTACTTAGGTTGAAAACTCAAAATGGGCAATCTAAGCAAAAGTGGCTAAAATGAGTGAGCTGGGAGGAAAGAAAAACAAAAAGAGAGGCTAGGAATGAAAACGTAAAAAGGCTCCGAGGTAGAATGAGAGAATGAGAGGAAGTTTTATCTTTGTTTATGAAGGAACTCATTTCATTTGAGAGTTTTCGGGATGCAAACAATGAAAATAATATTTGTTCGTGAAGATTATGAAGACCATCTTTTTTTGTAATTTGGGGATGAATGTAAAATGGAACCTTTTATTCATTTGAATTTGTCTGTTTCTGCGGATTGTGAAATGTTTTGTTGATGTTTACTCAAGTACGAGTAATGGACTAAGTGGGGGGGTTGAAAGTATAGAATTGTTGTTGTTTATGTTTGTAATCTTAACTAGTACTATTTGTTGTTGTTTTGAAAATTACATACTTTTGGTGTAGTACTTTATTTTTCTAGTTGTTTGTGATTTGCTTAGATTAAGACTATTCTTAGCTTAAAGCAGGTAAATATCATCAAAGGGATACTCGGAAGGCCAATGAAAGTGAAAGAGAACAAGATAAAGTGAAAAGGTTGGAAATTGTTCATATATTGTCGGGTATAACATATACCCGATCGAGTATGGACTTAATTCGAGTAGCAAATCTGATTTGGGCAGCAATTAAACGTGCAGGATGAATATTTGGCAAGATTTGTCTTATACCTGATCGGATAGATCGACATACCCGATCGGGTATCTGACCATGCCACCTCCCAACACCTATAAATACACCACTTTTTCTTCCCATTTAATCACCAATTCTCATATACCTCTAAGTTGAGTTTAGACATGTATTTTCTTTAGATTTTTCTAGTATGTTTCATCTCCAAATCATGAGTTAAACCATTCCATCTTGGTTTTGCTATATTGAAGCTTATGTTTTGTAAGTTGTGAGTTATTTTCTTAAATCATCATCTCTTGAATATTAATTACATTCATATTTATATCTCATATTAATATTTAGCTTACTTAAAGGATCAACTCATTTTGTTTTCATATATATATTAATTATGACTAGAGTCGATCGACAGATACGCTTGTTATTCGCTCGGTCCTTTCAACGGTAGTTAACTTAGATTATTAATGCATGTGTTTCATGCTTAGTAATTTAAGGGGGTTAATTATATTGATTAAACTAATAAACCGTGTGTGTTGAGTTTGTCAATCTCAGTTGATTTCATCTAAAGTTTTAATACTACTATCGGGTCAATATAAGACACGTGTTCTACATTGACCAGATAGTAAATTTTATTAATGTTCAAAACAATCTTTCATTTGCCTGTGGATGCGATCCTTACTACGTTATACTACGTATAAGGGTAAGTATTGAATATTATTTTGAAGCACACAGCGACTTTAGTGCCGTCAACTTACATGTGGCAATAATCAAATGGTGTGCTTATTTTGTTTTAGGTAGTCCAAATAATCACCAGACTAGAATGACATATTTGGGTATTCTTCCCATGGCTGTTTTCCGGAGTCTCCTAGCGAGATTAGATATTGCAACGTACATGTGGTCTCATTTGAAAGAGAAATGCAACGCTGGGGTGATGTAGTTGTTGGGGGTTTCATACTTCATATTGCTTAAAAATTTGGGTAAGTTGATAGACTACAACGGAGTAGTGTTTCCTAATACCAAATTCCTGCTTCTGTTAAATGCCCATGATATTATCATTGGCACATTTTCCCTAATCTACCACGTTACTTTATCATTCCTTCGGACGACCTCGCTCGTCACATATTTTATGCCCAACCCATGTATAGGAGACACTTCTGTCTTCCCAGAGCAATGGTCCCAGAACAACTAGAACCGCCTCCTGAACAGCAACCTTCATCCTTCTACACCGCCCCACAATTGACCCCTTCCAAATCCAACTCTTGGAAGGCAACGACATCTATGGGAGGGTTTCAACACCTGCAATATCAACTACTCCCTCTATTCCTCTATAATTGTCTCATTTTTTCATTTTTGGATGTCCCTTTATTATTGTCTCATACCAGATTTGGTAACATTTGTGTGGTTCTAATTCATTCTTACTTTATTCCCACTTTATCAACTCATTATCAACCACATAATTCTACTTTTCTTAAAAACCACATCACTCCCTTCCATCGCAATATTAGGGCGACATAGGGAGTATTAGTCCTTAGACGAATGGTTCACTAGACCGGATATCAAGTAATACTTTATTTTTCTAAATGGTTGTGATTTGTTTAGATTAGGATTTTTCGGAGCTTAAAACAAGTAAAGATCATCCAAAAGAGGCAAGTGCAAGAGGCCTGGCATTAAGAAGATTTGGAAAATTGTTCATACACCTGGTCGGGTATATACCCGGTCGGATATTGGCAATACCAGATCTGATATGGACTTGACTCGAGTATTAAATCTAATCTGGATAACAATTAAACGTGCATGGATACTTTTTATCAAGATTTATCGGAGAAATTTGACTTTGAACCCCACTTTTTGGGTGATATTGGAATTTGCGCCCTGCTTTCAAAAAACTTTGACTTTGCACCCCATTCCACTGAAAAATCATTTGACTTTGCACCCCATTCATAATTTTTTCCTCACAAAATGTTATGTGATGGGGTGCAAAATCAAAAGTTTTTCAAAATGGGGTGCAAAGTCCATTATCACCCAAAAAGTGAAGTGCAAAGTCAAATTTCCCTAGATTTATTTTATACTCGATCGGATAGACCGACATACCAGGCCGGGTATGATGTGATTTATGAAGCCGGTGAGCTACTGCTGAGGATACCCTTTCGGTTACCCTATATACCCGGTCGGGTATCCGACCCTACCACTTCCAAACGCCTATAAATACACTCATTTTTCTTCTTATTTGGATATCCTTTCTTCCATATACTTGAGCTCACTTTAGAAGTATTTTCATTATATTTATTTCATTTTTATGATGTTTTCTATTGGGTTGTTTTCAGTCCCAGAACAGAGCAGGCCAAACCAGATCATACTAGACCAGACTTAAATAGACCAGATCTGGCCAAACTTGAACAGCTATAGAATACACAGAGAACAGACATTTGCTGGACCATACGAGTTATACCAGACCAGACTAGATTAAAGAGTTAATTATCAAAATAGGACTAAAAGTCATTCACTTTTCACAAATAGGACCAAAAAATAAACTATGTTTGCATAGGACTAATTATGTGTACCTTGGACAATTATACCCTTATAGCTATTAAAATGTTTTAATTCCTAATAAAATAATAAAAAATAATAAAAATTCGTAAAAAATACTAAAAAATTAAGAAAAACATTTCAATATTAAAAATTTAATTAATTTTTTTTCAAAAAATTAAATAAAAAAAAAACTCAAAAAAAAAATCGCCACCGCCTCAGCACCACCACCTCCAGTCACCAGGGGAAAAAAATGCCAAGTTCATTACGAATGCCATATTTATGGCAGAAAAAATGAAAATGTTGGTATTCGAAAAGAGAAATATGCCCACTTGTTTGGCATTTTCAGAAAAAAATGGCATTTTTCTGGGAAAATGGCATTTTTTTCATCGGCCGGAGGTGGTGGTGCTAGGAGGTAGTACAGGCGGTGGGAAAGGCATCCATATTTTTTAAAAAAATTTTACGGAGTTTTACGTTTTTTTATTAATTTTTTAAAAAATAAAATTATTTTAAAAAAAAGTTTTTGAATTTTTTATTTTATAAAAATTTTATAAATTTTTTAATTATATTTCTACGAATTTTTAATTTTTTCGAATTTATTATGAATTAAACATTTAATTATGGCTTTTGACTATTTTGAATTCATATTTAATGGAAGGGTAAGAATGGAATGCAAAAATAGGTATGTTTCCAATAGGACTCATATGGTCCTATTTTGGAATAAAAACATAGCAAGTCCTATTTTAGGTTTTTGCCATAGTTTTAGTCCTATTTGAACTAATTTCTTAATCAGACCAGACTAGACCAGACCAGACCAGACCATCAAATTTCAGTCCAAAAGAAAACATATGTAGTCTCCAAATGAGGAGCTAAAATCCTTTATTCTTCGTTTTGATCTTGAAGCTTGTTGAATTTTAAAGTTGTGAGTTATTTTATTAACTATTTCCCATGAATACTAATTTTCCCTTATTCTATCTCTATATTAATGTTGGGGTGTTGCTACCAGAAACTATCAATGAATTAGTGGTTGTTGATGGTTTCAAAAGCAACTTCAGGTTATTAATGCATGGTCGCATGGTTAATAATATTACTTAAGAGGGATTAATCAGGACCGGTCTTGACAATTTATAGGCCAGGAACAACAGACGAAAAATAGGTCCCTAATTATACATGTTGTAAGAATGTATTACAAAAGTTTCATTGTCAAAAATAAAATTTGTTGCACAAGTAAATGTTTTTGTTCATAAAACTATTTGGTGTCATAAGTCATACAGAACAATTTTTAGGCATTCTTAAAAGCAAGATTGTTAATAATACTATCAATTTTGAATTCTCGACTTCTGTGAGGAAGATAGAAAGTCATCCAGTCGTGTTTCGTGTGTAACTCTGTCGTTGTGGCTCAGTCTACAAATGTGAGGGTTGATGGGTATCTTTTACGGAGTATTAAAGTATAAGGAAATGATATGGTCAGGCGCGCCTGACAAAATGATATGGTCGAATTTTATGATAAAATTTTGAGAGCATGTTTTCATAAAGATTAGATAATTTACAAAAAAAATTAGTTTTGAATTCAATTGAAAAGTTAGGTAAATAAATTATTAAAAAACATTGCGCTTTTTAAACATATATAAAAAACACTTTTTCAATGATTTATTTAACAGACTTCCCGATGAATTTTAAGTTGAAATTTTGTGTACCTAATCTACACTTAATGAAAAACATGCTCACAAACTTTCATGAAACAATTCAACGGAAGCATCTCAAATGGGTTTGACCGTACAGAACTTCCGATCAAACGCGCCGGAGGTGAATGAGACTCAATATATATACTACTACTACTAAATAATTTATGGGGCCCTCTTCCTGGTGGGCCCTGGGCAGCCGCCTATCCTTCCCCTATATCAGGAACGGCCTTGGGATTAATTGTGTTGGTTTGAACCGAAACTGTTGTGTTGAGATTATCAATCTCAATTGATTTCATCAAGGAGTTAAGAGATTAAATGATACTATCACGTCGGTATATGGCGGTGTTATATACTTGCCTAATAGTAAGGGTTTTTGATGAACATTCTCATTATTAATAACTCCCCTCGATGAATTGGAGATACTCCACAACTGATTATTCGAGAGGGGATAAGTTAAAATATAAACGGGAATAACAAACATCTCAACAAGTGCAAAGTAGCGAAATCAAGTCTTTTATCTCATTAATAAAAAAATCATATAAGTCGTTCATCTTAGTATTTAATTAATCTCAAGTCAAACAATCTTAAATCCCCCCCTCGTTACATTTTCATAGAGAAGAAATATGTTTTTCCCTGTGGATATGAACCTTACTACGTTATACTACGTATTAGTCACTACACCATGTTAATTAATCAATAGCAGCTGAAATATGCTATGTTATAATTCCATAGCATTGCATGAAATGCTATGGTAGGAGCTGCTATGGAAAGTGTGAGGCATTTCTTTTACACACGCTATCAAACTAAGGTCACAAGCATAGCATTTCTTTTGTTATCACAAAATAGAAATGCTATAATACATCAATGACTTTATCACAACACTTTTGATATGCTATAGAAAGCAAAAAAATACTCTAACATTGTAAATCTGCTATGAAACGTCTTTGATAGCATTTATATACTTTTCACCATCATCTAAATTTTATTTAATTAATATTGAAAGCATTTCACACTGTAGATAGAATGTAAAATTAGTTTCATATAGATACTTCATTTAAAAGTAGTAATTGACACAACTTTAAATCCATAGCATTCTCCATTTTTTTAGTCCCGAGAACCACCTTGTTAGGTGTGATAAATGTCGGGGAACATTTATCAAATTTTATTAAAGTCGAGTAGAATGTACAAACAACTATACAAAGGGAAAATAAAGAAGAAAAATAAAGAAGACCACAAACTGGTCAAGCTAGAAGAGCCCGTTCAAATGGGCCTGATGTGGGGCTGTGGGAATAGTTTTAATCAGTCCAAGAAAAAGGAATGTGCGAAGGATGAGACATAATAAAGCCAAGCGATAAGAATGAGAACCCTAGAGGCTCTTTCGAATGTGCGAGTGAGGAGAGAGAGGCGGAACATATGACTTCGTCTTTACCAATTGAGCCCAAATATTTCTGCAAAAAAGAAGATAGAAACAACCCCAACAATGAGAATTCTCCTAAAAATACCTTCATCTTAATATGAACATTCTTCTCTTTCCTAACAAAATAAATATTAGTGGATTCAACTCATTTGATTTATCAATTATACCAAGCACAAATCAGAAACTTTAGTATAGGAAAACAATTTTTAATACTATTGTTGAGAACTAGTATAGATTATACTGAACACTTCACAGGTACCTGATTATGCACCGAACATGCCAAGAAAGTTTTCAAGTCATTTAATAACTGGTATCAATTATTAATGGTTCCCACTTAGTTTTGTAGTTTATCTTTACAACGATTGTTTGTCCCTGTTTATAGATTACAGCAATATATCGATACACAAAGATGAGAATAACAGAAAGATAAATGCTCTGGAGATCCTTAAACTCGTCTTTGATATACCGTGAACTTCTACAGTAAGAATGATAAGCTCTGAGGTTGTTAAGATCGAATGCAAAAGTTGACGCAAACCTGAGCCTTAAGCGCCTTTTTATATGCGCAGGTCAGGTTTGTGTAAAGGCTTTACGCCAGATATGGGCCTGGCATTTTGGCCCCATATCTTTTACTATGCTAATAAATACAGAGTATAAATACATTACAGGCATAGTAATGACAAGACTATTATAAGACATCTGACAAACTTGATTCACAATAAAATATTCTTCAACAATCTCCCCCTTTGTGATGAAGTGCCGTCTTGTTTTCTTTTTGAGCTCTAGAGTAGTTTTTCCTGAAGTTTAGTGCATGCTCATATTGTCTGAGGATGTTTCTCTTTTCGAAGCGTTCATCAATTGCTTTCAGAATGAAAGTCATCACTTCATGCTCCTTTTGAGTATATGTAGATGCATCCTCAAGTCTTTTGTCAAGCTCTTCCTTCATTTTTCGTAGCTTCTCTTGAATAATTTTCAACGTCCCATCACAGAATTTGTGGATCTATTCAACCACCATCAGGCGTTTTTCATCCTTGTGGTTCAGATAGACTACTGCATGTGGAGTGAAAAAGATGTGGTATGCAGGGAAGTCCTCAAGCTCCGGACCATATAGTTTTGGCTGAGATAGATTCGCTTTTGGGATATAATTCTCTATAGCCATTTGGAAGTCATGGGAAGCGTTGACTCGGACTTGTCTCAGCATGAACCGCTTGATTGCTTCAAAGCCTTCTTTGTAAGTTCGATTGCTGCTGACTGGTAGGTATCTGTATGCCATAAACATCCCATAGATATCATCCATTTTGAGCATTATGAAGTAATTTTTTTGGCATACAAATTGACTACTTTCAGTGCGCTGGACTTTGTAGGAGTAGAATCTGATTGTATGATGATCTTCAGCTTTGACTTGTAGTATTGCATGAATAGGATGTGTACTAGACTTCAGATCTTTTTCCAAAACTTGTCGTTGAGACCCTGAAGATATATGAAGTAGCATGTGAAGGTGACCTCCTGCTTCTTTTCCTTTCAGATGTGCAAGTTCGCGCATCCTCAATTCTCTTAAAGGCCTGACCTTCTCTGGTTTACGCCAGACACGCTTTCTGAGTTCCTCTTGGAAGGGGGCTTTGATTCTAACGTTCTCCCAAGGTTTCTCATTCTTAGGAAGTCGTCCCGCCGTTTGTCTGATTATTGATTCCAGTTCCGTGGGAGTTTCTTTATAGTTTTCCCCTTCTTTGAGTTCCTCTTCATCAAGCCGAATAATATCTGCTGCACATTTGGCGATTAGTTCTCGCAAGTACCAGCTCCGCTGCATGTCCTCAGTTTCTTCGTCACTGCGAATTTGATCCCACTCCGTCCATTTCTTGGGCCACTTGTCATGTACAATGATATTTTCAAGTTCATCGTACATTGCCTCTGATGAGGGAGTGGTAGGAGCTGGTTGACTTGGTGGTGTCGGGGACCTGTACTCTGGAACACCGGGATCACAAGGATTTCCCGTTGTCATCAGTTCTGAACTATGTTCTGACTGATGGCCTGATTGTGAGGATGTACCAGAGGTAACATCAACAGGACTTCCATCCCCTGCTCAAACAGTATCTCTCGGAGATACGCGTCGGGATGTTTCGTCTAGCTCGACCAGGCTAGATAGGTTGGCTAGGTTATGGTTTTGGGTGGAAGCGGGTGGTTGTTGGTTGGTTGAGGATTCGGGTTGATCGGGCTGTGGAGGTTGGCTGGTGGAAGCGGCTTGCTCAAGTGTTTGTGGCCGCTTGTTCTCCCCCTCATGAGGTTCCGAATCGTCAGGACCCTCAAGTGAACGTTTGCGACCACGAGGAATGTCACGGAAATTGCTTTTGGTGTCAGAAGTACCCAAGAGAGCATGGAGGATGGTTTGTTGGTAAGGGGTGACGTCCTTGGCATCAATGGAAAGAAGTTTGGCGAGCATAGCGGATGTCAGGTCGTCGAAGGATAGGGTCATGAGGTCAAGGCGAGTAGTGGTCGGGAGTGGGGATGATACTAGTTGTGCATCATGGGTTCCCCGAGAAGGTGTAGGGCTAAGGGGTTTCAGGAAAGATGAGGCGGAGATAGCGGGGGTGGTATGGATTGGGAGTGAGAGGGAAGGGGTTGAGTTTGGGGCTGGCTTTGTTCAATATAAACCGCTGGGGTGGTTTTGAATTCCTGTGCCCAAGCGGTGAATGCTTCGTGCACCCATGGTTTAATGGTGCAATCCAAAAAGCGATGCATGAGAACGGTTACATCTTCGGGTGTAAGGGTACCAGTTACAGGGGTGGTAACTGTTGACACAGCATCAGTGAAGATAGATGATGTGTGGCCTGCATTGAATGGCGGAGCTATGTTTACGTGGCAGGGCTTCCGACCGTCATTGTTTGCACTCGGGTCGTTGCGTTCAGGGTGTGTGCACCTATCTGTGCAGTGAGTAGTGTAGGTGTCCTAGAAAAAGTAGAAAATGTGGGTAGTGTGACACCTAGACTCGATGTGGGCAAGGAGGGGGTGGTGGCCTTGGGCGATTGGCCACTAGTTCTCTCTACTGATCCGGAGGGGACCAGAGAGGTGGGTGAATCCCTTGATGTTGAAACTTTAGCCTGTTGGGAGGCTAAAGAGTGGCTAGAGGAGGGTTGTGCGTGCACAGTTGAGCCTGATGTTGCGGTTTCTACTCGGGAACTGAAAAGATCGGCTCCTGTACTTAAGGATTCAGCTCGACTTATGTTGATGAAGGGTTCACAATCTGCAAAGATGGCCATGTCATATTCGTCAATCAGGCCTCTTGTATCCAGCCGCTTTTTCATTGGCTTGGATGATGAAGGGGCATCATTTCTGGTTTTAGCTCACGTTTCCTGGATGATGGCGTCTTCAGAGTTTTTGATGACATGTGCGGCTTCGTCATAATCATATTTGTGCTTTTTAATTTCGTCAAGCACCACTTCTTGATGCTGAACACAGATCAGAGGATCTTTATCATGTTGCGGTGTTGTCCGAGTCTCCTTGATTGTGATTGTCGTAGATCGATTGGCCAGAACTGCATGTGCCTCCTCAGCAGTGATTTTCTTGGGAGACTCGGCAGGCAACTTTCCTTTTCTTATTAAAGCATATGTGTGCTCAACGTCGTCAATGTCCTCATCATCATCATCATCACTTCGAAAGGCCACGCTATCAGATGCCTCACCGTCAGCCTTTTGTGGGCCAGGCTAGACGGTTCATCGGCAGGCTCCTCAGTGTCCGTTGATGTGACCTCAGCCGTCCGAGTCTTCTCGGAAGAGTTGTCGAACTTTCCTTCATGGGACAGACGGGCCACTGGTTTCTGTAGCTTAGGGGATCTCTTTGGATCCTTACTGGCACTCGGCTAAGTCCCCTGGGTAGATCCAGTTGGGTTTTGCTGAACCATAGGGACTGTTCTCTCAATGTCCTGTTTGTATTGGACAACAGCAGGATTTGATGCGTTGGCCAAATTGAGAAGGAAGTCTGGAATGCGCAGTCCAAGAGTATCTGCTTATTGGCCTTGAAATATTGAAGCTTGGGCGCAGAGAAGTGTGGATCATCACGACGTTTAGGAATGGATTGGTGCTCTGTCATGGTTTCATTGATGTGGAGGCCGAGCCACCTAGCATAGGGGATGGTGCCCGACATGGTCTTCTCCTTTGCCTTCACCAGATCCATGAGCTCATGGAAGAAAAGTTGAGCAATGTCGTACTTCTTGTTGAATGCAATGCCATGGAAAATTTGGAGTATCTGCTTGTTGCACTTTTCAAATCCGGCGTGCTTGGGAGATAAGCATGTGTTGACCAACCCGAAAAGGCTTTTTCATGGATGCCTGAGATGAGCCCCATTGAAGTTTGATAGTTGGGGGAGCAACGACTCATATCCGAGACCCTCGACGTCCTTTAGCATATATTTGATAGACGGAAGAGGGTCATAGTTGTCGTGGGTCGGAAGCTGGAGAGTAGATCGGAGAGTGTATGCCGTTAGGATGACCCTCATGTTGTTCAGCTTGGTCATGATTTTGGTGCGGTCCTTGGGTGACTCTGTATGCATATGCCCCAAGAATTGCTGCAAGTATATCTCTGGCACTGGCTTGGCGTTGTTGAGTGCGGGCCAGAGATAGTGACTCCTCATTATGGTTGGGATGACAGGATCCTGGCATTTGAACACTGTCAGGTCCAGTTGATAGTTATTGCCGAGCACTTTGATCCATTTGCCCCTTGGGTAGATACCATCATCAATGTTTGCATAATGAGTGCATGTCATAATGAACTGTAAAAGCATGGGGTCAGCACATTGGTCCTTTTATTTTTGGTCTTTTTTGGAATTTTCTGATGTTTTTGGATTTTTGAAAGAAAATGGGAGCAGGTGGATTGCATCAAAAAAATGTTGAGGCAAAAGCTCGAGATCAGGATCTCGGGGTTTAAATCTCGATATCCGGATCTCGAAGGTTAAATCTCGATATCAAGATGTCGAGGTTTAAATCTCGAGATCAGGATCTCGAAGTTTAAATCTCGAGATCACGATCTCGAGGTTTAAATCTCG